CATGGATAATATTTAAAATGAGACAATATTTCTTTTCACGGTTCAAAAATATCTTAGTAGATGAACGTACGTTGTATTTGTGGTGTAAGAAAATAGAAAAAATTCATAAAATAAAAGCACACACAGACTATGCAGAATAAATTTTCTGTTAACAAAGAAAATGAAAAAAAAAAAAAAGTTGGAAAAGCATAACAAAGCACTATCTTTAATGCATTAATTATTTATTTGATCTTATTGTCGCGTTCTTCCAAGTGTTACTGTAAGCATGATTTTACTTGTATTTTAATTTCGATAGTATGGTTGCTGCTTCTAACTTTTTTAACTATTCAAATTAAGAGTTTCGTTTAAAAATATTATCTAATACTTAATAGAAAAATATAACTTATACAAAATTTTAGAGCTTTTTTTTATGATTAAAATGATATAAAATAAAAATGATAATAATATAATAAAATAAAAATAATAAATATAAAATAGTAATTTTAGTAAAATATTAAATAATAATATCTCAATAATAACTAACTAAATAAAAAATAATAATATAATATCTTTTTTATTCTGAAAATAATAATAAAAAATATCTAATTTAAATAAAAAATAATAACTATCATATATAGATTAAGGATAAATTATTATATGAGTAACTTATAGTTACTCTATTTAATAATTCTTCGTATATATTAAATTACAACAACCTCAACATTTTTATATTAACAATCATATACACTAGATTTGAATTAAAATAGATATTTGTAATTACTTAATCTTAACAAGTAACGTTTACTTTCTTCTTTTTGGAAAAGCATAGTACGATTTTTATTTAAATTCAATATCTATTATTTGTATACATATATTTTATGCATTATTTTTTTCACTAGTATATATAAATTAATAAAGGGGCATACCTTTCTTATATTTATTTTAATTATTGTATGAAATTCCAAAAAATCAATTAGTTTGATTAATTAGAAAAATTGAACTTTAATAAAACTAATTACACACAATAGACTAAAACAAAACTTGTTTTTATAGCGTTAATTATATAGTAAAAAATTTTTAACAAATAGTTAATAATTTATTAAGCAATAATATTTTTTAAACTTATAAGATAAACTAATTAACAGCTTACAACTTTCAAGTAACATTTCCATCCAATTTACATAAAAGATATTTTGATATAATTTTTTTAAGAAAAAAATAAAAAATAAAATAACTGTTAGAAAGGAATATTTTATCTTCAAATACTTAAAAAATTATCTCTCTCTCTCTCTTCCTGAATACGTACATGCATTCTAATAATAAATGTCTTTGAACTTAACTTAAATAAATAGCTTTAGATTTTACTTAAGACAGATATATTATAATGAAAATTCATAATAAAATATTAATTGTCAATGAGTAGTTTATTCGTTCTAAATAATTGTTTAACAGTTCAACAAAATCGTCATTTAAATATGTGAAGTTAGAAATATATTACAAATCGTTATTACTTCTTGTTAAATGTTTATTGATATAAATAATGTATATTCAAGATTTGTTTGATTAAGATTACAATAATATTAATTTTTTAATATAAATATATCGCTATAAGCTAAAACAATGGACATGAAGAAACACAAATAGTAACCTCTTCACTTATCTTATTGAATAAAACTATCCCTTATGAGTATTCATCAACTTCATATACATTCTTAAAGTGTATGGTACATTATAAATATTTGTTAAAATCTATAACTTTTGAAAGGAAAATACAAAACAAAAAATTCAAAACATATATGTGTATTAAACATTAAGAAATCATTTAATTGTTTAGTTGATTCTAAATTGAACATTATAAGAAATAAAGTATTTAACTATAAGATGACAATTTGCATTCCTTGTTTTATTAATGACATTTTAAATTTGATTTCAATGTTATTGCCAATGGTTAAAACCTAAGAGACACACTTAGAAAGGACAAAATTAGAATTCAAATTCAAATTGAAAAGATAATTTTATATCAAAGTTCAAAGGTTAATTATGTCTCCTAATGCAGGTCAGATATCTAGTTTATATTTAAAGAGTGATTTAGCAAATTACACATAAACTTTTTTTCTAGTGATGTGTTGATAAAAGCGATTCACATGTTTTACTACCATTTTTTTATTTACAAAACTTGTTAAACCCTTAAACGATCCATTTACACAGACAACTATGATATGCTTAGTAGTATATGCATGAAGAAAATTTACGTAGTATGCTACTCTAATGGCTTATATTTTAGATTTTTTTTTTTTAATTTCTCTTAAAAGTAATATAGATTTCATATTGATGGTTCTAGACCAAGAAGAATAGGGCAACACTAAAGAATATATCTAGATAGAGTTTGGTGGGTAAATCTCTTACGCATTCAACTCAACTCAGATTTTCTCAATCTTTTCTTTGGCATAAGGAAAAAAAAATGAATGATTACAAGAAAATGGATTCTATTTCTAGTTAGTTTTTAGTTCTGGTACGATAAGTTTAAGTTAATATCTTGTATCCAAACTATCATAAACCTTTTCAGTGATATTTTGAGACATCTCTTTTTCTTTTACAAGTGGTTGAGATTTTCATACACTACATGATTTGAATATTCAACTACGATACAAAGTTAAGCCTATAATAATAACTTCTAAACAAAAGCCACCATAGTAACATAAATAATCAAATTTTTGTATTCTTTAGAATTAACAAGAATACCAAGTACTTGGGGTATGCTCTTTTACTCTATTACTTAATCTTATCTAAATTTAACACATTAATAGTTTTACTAAAAATTCGGACAATAACATTACTAATTTTTTTTCTTTTCTCCTTTTGAGGTTATGATTAAAGAAAACTTATGAGCCCGAGAAGAAGAAATAAGAGATAACTATACTACCACCAACAACCTAAGAGTATAGGTACCTAACTGCATTACAGAAAACAGAGAAAAGGAAAATCTCCATAGTCAATTTTCTGTTTCAATGCATGGTAAATTATTTGTGACAACCTATTTGATATAAACAATGTTGTCTAAATGGATTCCTGGTTTCAAAACTTACATATGTGTGTGTGAAAGTATTGTATTTTTAGTAATAACTTTGACATGTCTAAAGTAATTGGGAGATGCAGACACATTAAATTATAACAAACTAAAAACTTGTCTAAATTTTATGGGTTTGATTAGCTAAACTCAAGTAAAATGGAGTTAGAAAAAACATAATAAAATTGTTTTAACCATCTTGAAATATGTGAGTAATTTCACGAATGGTCTCATAGAGTTCTTTTAACACTATTTTTATTTAAGATAAATTAGATAAATCAAACTTTAAGGAGAATTATAGAGTACATAGAATAATAATATATGAACACTCATTTCTCACACATCTATTTGGCACCTATTCCTTGTCTTTATCTCTCTATTCCTTTTACATTAATTATACCATTTATCGTATCTACGTTTTCCTCTATTTTTCTTTCAAGGTGTGATATAGAATGAGTTTCTGATACATTATCCAAATGTATATCCATATATAACAAGCTATACACTGAGAAACTGAGTGGCATCAACATTAGTTTCGGATTCTATTCTAAAACTTTTATCACAAAATTATCTTTTTTTCTTCGTTTTGAAATCTCTCTCTCTCTCTCTCTCTCTCTCTCTATATATATATATATATATATATATATATATATATATAATCCTTAATGAGTTAAAATAATAATTTTGTAGCTTTTAACAATAAAGGGTTATTAATAAAGAATGTAGATTTTATATTTTTGTATCAAATAATTTCTTTTGACATGTTGAGTTTCATCCTTATATAATATCATGTGAGAGTTCAAATTATGTAGTCAATTTTAATCTTGACATTGAAGGGAATGTGGATCACCCAAGTGTCTATTCAGTCACATCTAAAAAGATAAGTATCACACATTAGAAGACACTCGGGATGCTAACCACAGACAAGCTAAACTATACATCTGAGAAGTGACCCGATGTTATCATATTCTTATTGGACTTGTTTTAAAATAATGAAAAATATGCCAATACATCACAAGAAAACAAAAAAACAAGTAAACGTATTTGAAACATGCCCAGGAAAATGTCTCAGGTGGTATAATCAAGGCATTAACCCAGAAAAATGTTTCATTGGTTATTTTCCTTGTCTAAAATCATGCGTAAGGCCGTTATACGAACTATTGAATTTGTACCATGACACTGATAAGTAGGTAGATAGGATCAGAGCAGAAACATGGAAGAGGAAACGTGTTATGAGATGAAAATACAAGCGTTTTATACAATTTTTTTCCCAGATTCAAAGATTGTTGAAGGTACCTTACACCGTTAAATTCTGAAAGGAAAGTAGGGAAATACATAGCAGGCTTCGGCATTTCTGTCTGCACGTCAAATATACGGATGTGATTGTTTTAGGCCTCCCACGGTTTTCCCAAGCACTGAAATTCTGCAAATTGGAGCTGCAAAAATATCATTGACTAGTCAGCAGAATGTTACTTATGCAATTTGACTATGCACTTTGCACATAAAAAGTTTTTTAGAGGTATGACTTGTTAAGTAAGACGAAATCTTGGAGATGGTTTTTCGTTAAAATGTTAAATCCAAGAAGGCTAGTCATTTGTTAATCTCTTCGCTTGCATTTCCCAATCTGTATATACTTCATAACATGTTTGGATTTTCCTCTAAAACGGTGGACGTGAGAGATATATATATATACATATATATATCAGCTTCTTCGTGTTTATTATATCTTTGTTTGACGTGATTTTGGACAACAGTTTGAGTGTTGGACCTGATCTAAACACCCATTTGGTTTAAATCAATTTTCTGAATGCTTATATATTCAGATTAATGCATCCTTTATAATCTTAATAATTAATATATTAATTTGCTTTTAAAAGAAAAATGACTGTAACATTTTTGTGAAAGTAGTCTATGATAATTATGTACTAAATAAATAATGTGGTGTGGAAGGAAGTTATCTACGAAACCCCAATTGGAGACTTACTTCTTGAGAGAATCCATAGTTATCGAAGATCAAGGAGGGGCTCCATTTGCTCAAAATAACCAAAGAATCATCGCCATGCTCCTTTGTGTGGTAGCTATGTTCCTTAACCTCATCAGTTATCACGTCCAAGGAAGGATGCACAGTATGGCTCTTGGTACCAGATTCTTCTCCAGCTTCAGAGGGGTTCCAAGAACTCAATTGGATCAGATTTTGATTTCTTTCCTCTCCACATTCTTTTGATTCTTCAGCTAAGCCACGACTTCTCATCTTTTCTCTTGTCCTCTCGCGTGCCCTTTCTCTTGCCCTTTCCCTGCACTCCTTTGCAAGAGGATGGAATGCACTGATCTTCCTAGAATGCTTGACCCTTCTCTTCAGAACTTTGTCTACTCTCTCTTCTCCTTCTTGTTCTTGATCTCCACTCACTAGAACCTCATCAAGACTAGACACACCTTCTTCACATTCCGAACTAGCACTGCTACAACTGTGGTGACCATTCTTCTTCTGCTTCTTTTTCTCTTTCGCTAGACGCTGGATTTCAACTTTTGCTTGGTTCAGTAACCACTCCACGGTTTTGCTAGCTTTGTCAAAGCCTAGCATATCTTGCAAGCCGAAAAACCTCTTGGCAACATCAAGGGAAAGTCTCATTCTCCTATCCCTCAGTCCTCTTGCGGTGTTGATCTTGCTGTGCCTATCTCTCTTGCCGGGTCTTTTTCTCGGGATCTGATCACTCTTTTTAGAAGAAGCCTCCATGGAAATATTAACTGGTTGAGGCTCGGGCTCATGAGGCAGAGGTTGATGGTGAAACTGAAGGAGGAAATCATGGTGTTGTTCGAGGAAAATTTGAGTATCTTCAAAGGAAGGAGAAGAAAAGTGAAAAAAGGACGAAGGAGGAAGGTCAGGGTTGTTTTCTTGTTTTGATGTTGGGTTGCTTTCAGAGTCAATGCAAAAGGGCCTGCTGTAGTAAAATGCTGGGTCATAACAGGAAATTGGGTCACTGCCAGAGTGAGAGGGAAACGTATCTGAAGTTTGAGGTTGCATATTGCACCAAATAACCCTACTGCCCTTGGAGGAGCTTGTGCAGGTTATACATAAGACTATAAGAAAAAGATTGAGAACGACTTGTACTTCACTTCCTCTTGTATTGAACGATTTTGCTTATCACTCCCTGCAGCGAGTAAAATTAATTTGAGATACTTTGTGCTCAGTAGAGAGTGATTGAAGTAGACAGCGATTTCATGTATGTATGTGTGCTTGTGTTTAAGTGTGTGTGAGAGGGTGAACGATGAACATAATGTAATTGTACAATAGTACTACAGTTTGAGAAAGACAGCACAAACTGTAACTCATCAGAGGAGAGAGAGAGAGAGAACCTGAGTGAGTGGTAAAGAAGGGGAGAAGAGAAGGGGAATTTATTGAAGACATCGAACCTAGGTAGCTTTATTTAAATTTGATAATCTTTGCTTTTGAGGAAAAAGCTTAGATGTTTAGGAAGATATATAGAATGGAAGAAATGAGTGGATGAAAGAAGTTAAAAGTTGTGGCACTTCACGTGGTGCACAGGTGGGAGGTGACAGGGTGCTAAAGCCAACTAACTCACCTCCACGCCCCTCCCTTATACCCTCGTCACATCACTCACTCACTAGCCCCACTTCACTTCACCCTCTCCAATCAGGTTTCATTTGCCACACTCTCTACCAGACCCTCCTTTTCACATTCCATGACTACATTTTCATGCTTTGTCCCACAGAATAGTGTGGAGAAGAGGTTTCACATGCCATCACTTTTTATGGGAACATTCACACAATTTCTAGGGTCCATTTTCGATATTATGTTTACGTAAGAACGAGACTTTCCGTTCTTACGTTAATTCCCATCTTTAATATATTCTCCATTTTTTAGTTTTTATTAAGGCCTTCTTGCCAGAGTCTTCATAGAACTGGAATTCTACCTTGTCAGGACTTACGGGCTGGAGACAGTAGAAGATAACCTTCGATTTTATCCTTGACAACATTTCAGTAAATTAAGGATAATTAATTAATTAATTAAAAAAAATTATATATATAAATTATTATTCACTTTGACTTTGAAATTTATGAACAATTTTAAAAAAAATTGCACTTTTTTAATATAATTAAAATGTAAAATAGAAATAATTATGTTATAAAAAGAAAAATTATAATCAAGTTTCGATTAAATTGTTATAAACCAACACATATATTAGTTTTTAAAAAATAAATTCAAGAAAGGTGGAACCATACTGACGTCAGCTTTCCTATAAATCAATCCTTGCCTCTAGCTTTTTAGTTATCTCTAATCATAAGAATAAAAAAAGATACTATTAAATATACCTTTTTCAATATATATTTTATTATTAGATAATATTTGTATAAATTAAAATATAGCATAAATTCAAGTTACTAAAAGAAGTTACATAAAATGCATTCGACGACAAAAAATATTAAAAATTAAAATATATTTTATTTTTTAACTTTCAAATTTAGGATATATAACAGATAATTTTTTGGTTATGTGAATTGAATAATAATTATTTCATACTAAATATTTAGTTTTATTGTTAAGTAAGTCATAGATGCCGCTAAAGGCTTGCACTGTGTGACTGGGTTTCTGAGGGACGTCGCTTTCACTAAAAAGAGGGAGGCAATGCTCTTTCTCCATTTCCTCCTTGGAATTTTCTTCATTCTCCTTCCCATGCGTGCTTATCCTTTCCTCTCTTAATTTCTTTCTTCTTTTTACAAAAAGCTTCATATGAAAATTCCTCTGTTACCAAACAAAACTTTTCAAATATCTGCTGTATACTAACAGAATTACTTGAGTTTATTCCATTTGATCCATGAGTAAAATCACAAGTAATTTCATTGTTAATGTTGTTACGACATTATTGACGTTGTCATTTGATAATAAAAGAAAATATATATTAACCAAAACAATCACTATAACTAATCAAAATTTTGATTAAGAACTCAAAATAAAATCAGCGTAAATTTCCATCGATTTGATTTAATAGAGGATAAAATGTATAAGGATTTGATATTAAAAAAAAAGTCAAAATTTATATCAATTAATGTCACACTAAACATAAATTTTGGTGTTTTTTTTTTATTACAACCAAAATCTATACATAAAATATGCACAAATAAAATTCAAATAATCCAAAATGTGATTAAATTATACCTAAATGCTAAACTAATTATTCAACTATCTAAAAGTTAAACTACATCATAAAATATTAACTAAAGTAAAAAATTAAGTATTATATATTTTTAATAAAAAATCTTGTTATTTGATCTATTATTTTTATCATATCATATTCAAATAATGGAGATGAATCATTAAAAACTTGAAACATTAGTTTGAATCTTATTCATATGCATTACTCATAAAAAAATAAACAAATATTAAAATGAATTATCTTTATCCAAAAATTAATAATAATCGCATAAACTATGACTCATGAGTTTATTTGCCTATTACTCTAAAATTATAAACAAATCATAATATTATTTTTAAAGTTTATAAATACAATAATTATAGTCTCTATTAAATAATTTTTTAACCTTTAAGTTAAAATGAATTACAAATTCTTTGTTCTATCTATTCTACTTAAAATTTATTTTTAGATATAATTCTAATTGAAATAAAGATAGATATTAGTTAATATATATTTACTATTAGAATTTAAAGAAAAATGATAAAATTACTCTTATCATAGATTTTTCATTTTTTGGTGCAGTGAGCAAAATCACACCATGATCTAATCCTTAAGAATGATTGTAATTAATGAGACCTATATTTTATAAAGAATAATTTGGTTGTAAAATTAAAATAATTAAAAAATTAAACTAAAAAAAACAATCTTTCAAGGAGCCTATATATATATATATATTTTATTTTATTTTTCTTTCTGTTATTGTGAGTCACTAGTCAATTTTTGCATATATTATTGGATTTGTACTTTTTTGTACCCAAATTTTTGGATGGATTGAAACTCAATAAATCCATATATTTCTGATTTTACTTATTCCACAATCAATTTGTTCATATACCTAATTCAATGAATTATAAGTTAAATATAATTATTGTAATGTCAAACACATAAGTAAATATGACTTACATGACCTACAATTATATGATAGAAATGTTTAACAAGTAGTTTCTCCTGATAACCTCTAATGCGTCGAGTGAAAACATGTACAATGCAACAACAAAATTATCAATTCGAAAAACTTTGTTGTTTCCCTATATTTGAGTCAATTTCTTCATCAATAGTGGTACTATAATAAGAAGCGTATATATGGGATCATCACCGGCTTCTACCATATCCTTATCAATAACAAGTTTTCTTATAATCTCACAATGGATAAAATCCTAAACAAATGATAAAAAATAGTTAAAACATTGATAGAATTATAAGAATATAAAATGGAAAGAAGGAACATAACATGTATTAAGAGTGACATTACCAAACATCTTGGCAAAGTCAAGAATGTACTGCTTGTCTGCCTACTAGTTGACATGTACCTTGAACAAAACTCAATAATTTCTTTTAGACCACAATAGAAACTTCTAGTCGTTATTGATTTTTCACATATCTTTCTAAGATTTTTATATATTTCTCGTCAAGGTACATTAAGATAAATTGGACCACACAATCAATTTTTTCTTACCAAATGAACTATTAAATGTACCATGATATCAAAAAATGAAGGTGAAAAATATATTTTAACTGACACAAGACTATGATTATTTCATTTTTTAACACATCTAACTTTTGAGAATCAATTACTTTCTTACAAATGATATTAAAAAACAAACATAGTTGAGTAATAGTAACTCTAACATAAGCTGAAAAGATATTTGAAATAACCATAGGTAAAGTTGTTGCATCAACACATGATAATCGTAAGACTTTAAACTAACTAACTTCAAATCTTGCACAAGCAGCATACTACTCTTAATATTTGAAAAGTACCCTTATTGCACTTTCACACTGCATAAACACTCATTTGTTTTTCTTTTCTTTCTATGATAGAGTATGATAACCTGGAGCTAAGTAAATGAATTTTCCAACAAACTATGGATGCAACTCGAAAAGTGTACCCATGTTCGCTAGATATTATCGTGTTCTCACTCCATCTTTTGTTTTTCCTTTTATGTTAAGCAATGTTTCAATTGCACTATCACAAACATTTTTCTCCACATGTATTATGCAATGTCTAATATCTAGTTTGCATGAATAAGGAAGATTAAATAACATTGATTTTTTCTTCCATATATTATTTTCAGTGAACTTCTTTAGCTTCTTTTCGAATACAATACTAATGTTCTTGACCCGTTCATATATTTCTTCACCCTTGTGTTGTACTAATGTAACTTCATCCTCTTGACATCCATCAAATGTTTTTTTTTTCAATCTATGGTATGAATGAGTACAAACTAGGAACTAGTGTATATAGTATTTTGCCCATGTTTTAATTGGGTATAACTTATGTTTTCTTCACATATAGGGCATACATAATGTCACTATAACCACTCAAGTTCCCACATTAGAAAATAATTTATTGTGCAAATTATCATTGCATGCAATGCATCAAAGACCTCCACTCTAGTTTCCTACAACTTCTTCAAGTCATCAATCAAAGAACTGAGATACACATCTATGTCATTTCCTGATTGTTGGGGTCTTGAAATCATATAGACAACATAATATAGTTTCTCTTTATGCATAATCAATGAGACAAATTATAAATGACCAACAAAACCAACCATGAATTATATTTACTACTTAAGCTTCTATAAGGATTCATGTCATCTATAACTAGTCCAATTCTCTAGTTTCTTAACTCCGTACCAAATTCTAGAAATGTCTCATCAATTGTCTTTCATTGTGGAAGCTGGATGTTAAAGAAATTTGTCACATTTTCTATCATTTGCATATCTTTAATGACAAATAATCTTTTAAACTTAGGTATTATTGGCAAGTACAATAACACCTTAATAAGAGGTCATTTGCTTCTTTC